TAAGGCAGCCGAGCAGGCGGTACGCGGCTGTAGAGCGCGCTGCAAAGCCGCTGCCGGGGCGCGGGGTAGGGAGCGGTGCCCGCCGCCGGGAACCGGCCGGACAGAGCGGAGCGTCCCCGGCCCACGGCGCCCGCCCTGTTCTCCGCTGCCGCTTCTCGATCCCGAGCACGGAGGAGCGGAGCGAAACAAAACGATGTGGAAAGAAGGAAAGGCATTTTATTGGAGACTTTACAATGCTAGAAAGTACAATAAAAGTGCTATTTCACTCTAGAAAAGTTGGTCCCAAAATGGTACTAAGCCACAGCATCTATCAGCTTACATAAACATTTATAAAATCGCTATGAACTGGCCCCTGTATTATAAACGCTATTTTTTTTTTTCTTCACATAAATCTATGTAAAATTGAAGAATCAAAACTTTTTAAGGGCAAGTATTCAAAAGCAGAACCTACCGAAAAATCCATCTTGGGCCAGGTTCGGGGTCAAAAAACAGAAGATAGTTTAAACTTTCATTATTAATAATAATATGCACACGGAAAATATTCCAATTTATAGGAAACCGTCTTTTTTTTTTTTATAACATCAAAATATTTTTTTAGACCTGTATAAAATTACTTTTAAGACCTCAGAGGACATTGTCTCCTTTAAAAAATATATTTATCACTGCCGAAACGTTTCACGAGTGACTCTGGCAGATTTTGTTTGTTGGTTTCTAATAACCAGCAATATCGCACATCTCCTGCTGTTACAGCAGTTCCCACATAAGCACTTGACGGAAAGCCACAGCTCAGAAGAAGGGCAGTGCTTTGCAGACCGAGAAAGAAGAAAGAGAAAATGAAAAGGAGGAGGAGGACGAGCACCGCGGGCACACGGCAGTGTCTAGGCCCCGACAGCCCCGCACTGCCACGCGTGGAAATGCCTCCGCTATTTACAAGCTCCGCTTTACTCTCTCCAACGGTGAGTCCGAAAAGATTACGGCCGAATTATAACGGAGCAGAATTTTGAGGGCTGAACACCCTATTTTTAATTACATGCTCCCCCCCGGCCCCCTCACAACCACACACACACCAACAGAGAAACGAACGGTAAATCCAAGCTAGCCGGCCCGGCGCAGCCCCACTGTGGAAGCTCCCACACTTACACACTGCTTTCAGCTCCTCGTAGGACGGCTCCTACACTTACAATATATGCGGAGCTGGGCTACTATTTTCCCACCGCAACAGTTTGCACACAGAGAGCTGGAAGTCCGCAGCTAGAGAGAAGGAGACACACAGAGAGCGACGGAGAACGCGGCGGGATCGGAGAGGGGCGGCGGGGCCCGGGCAAAGGCATTTCTGCAGCGGCGGCCGGCCGGAGCCTCCCTTAGATGTCTATGCGGGAGTGCAGAGCGCTGTGTTTGCTGTCGTGCTCCCAGTAGGAACAGTGCATCATGGACAGCTCGGCGGGCTGGCGGGCGCAGGCGAACTGGAGGCCAGCTCCGTTTGCGGCCGGGGCCGCGGGTGGAGCGGGGCTGGCCGGGCTGAGCTGCTGGGGGTGGTGGGCGTGCGGGTGGTGGTGGTGGCCCATTCCGTTGTAGGAGTTCACCATGCTGGGCAGCGCCATGCTCTGCACCCGCGAGTAGGGGCTGTAGGAGGCCGGGCCCGAGAGTCCTTTCACATTGACGGGGCTCACGTTCCCGCCAGACATCTGGCAGGAGGCGTAGGGCATGGGCGCGGGGGGCTGCGCTAGCGGCCACGAATTGTTCATGAAGGTGGACTGCAAGTACTTGGGCGGGGAGAGGTAGCCGTAGCTGTCGGGGCTGAAGAGGGTCTTGCCGGGCTGGAAGTGGGTCGGGGGCGGCCGGAAGGGCCGCTTCATCCTTCGTCTCCTGCGGTAGTTGCCCTTCTCGAACATGTCCTCGCAGGCCGGGTCCAGGGTCCAGTAGTTGCCCTTGCGCTCGCCGCCCCCCTCCCGGGGCAGCTTGATGAAGCACTCGTTGAGGCTGAGGTTGTGGCGGATGCTGTTCTGCCAGCCCTTCTTGTTCTTCTCGTAGAAAGGGAACTTGCTGATGATGTACTGGTAGATCCCGGACAGCGTGAGCCTCTTCTCCGCGCTCTCTCGGATGGCCATGGCAATAAGGGCCACGTAGGAGTAGGGGGGCTTCTGCGAGGGGTCCGGCTTTTCGGGACCCTTGTCGGCGCTCAGCTCCTCCTTGCCCCGCTCTGGCTCCTGCCTGCCGCTGTGGTCAGGAGCCAGCAATGCCACTGTGTCCCCCTCGCCGTCCGGGTAGCTGCTCATCATGGTGCCCCGCGTCCGCAATCCCACGGCGCAACGCCGCACGATGCGGAGCGCTGCCCGGTGCGACGTGTGCCGAGTCCGGTGCTGGCGGTCGTCCCGCCGCGGGCTCGCCCGGGCCCGGAGCGAAAGCGGGGACCGGG